AATTGTAAATTCGCCTGACACTTGTAGCGCACGGTGTAACGAACCTTAATTAGACGCCGCGTTCAGATGATGGCTTACAATTATCTTCTGCTTCTGTCATTCTTTTCAAGAAATTCAACTAAATAGGATTTTTATTGTTCCTATGTCTGCCAGGTTTCTAGAAATCTAGTATAAGGAACGATAACTAAAAATCGTCGACTTGTAGCTGAGAAAAATATCCAGAGAAACAGACTTTTACGAGGAATTTGTACTCTACGTTTGAACGTGAACCAAATCTTCCTACGAAAGATCGCTGAACAGCGATACAACCCATCAGAAACAGAAAGCCTGTTCACCGAATTCAATACGTAACATCGAATCCACGGGCCACAAAGGAGCCCGGGAAACGGAGAAATCAGCGGGTCACTGTTCGCCCTATTCCGTCGATATGTCATCGTTAGAGCCTCCGTTATTTTCCAGGACGTAGGACGCGTAGATCCGGCTGTATTTGCGCCGGGTTATCCACCGGGCGACCGGTCGTATTGAAATGTCGCGTGTGTGTCCTGGTGTTGAGACCGGCGGAGAGAGAAAGGTGGGATTATCTGAATACAGGGGGTGAGTTGCGAGCCCCCAGGGGGTAGTAGGTGACCAGCCTGGTCCTCCGTCGAACGATCCTTGCTGCCCCTTGTGACGTATGGTGGTCATCTTAGCTGCGAATTACCGGCATCTTCTCTCTGCACCCGTGGGCTTTCGATAGATTATTTGAATATCGATCGAGTACACGCCCTGTTTTTCCGGCAATGGCAAAAGGGGACATCTGTCACGACGGATTGGACGAGTTTTAGCATAATTCGGCTGATTGATAACGACTCTGCTCCAAACGCTATCTCTCCAGGATCGTACTTACGCGTCCCCTGGTTTAATCAGCCTCCATGTGGGCACTGAGCGGAGCTACGGCGAAATTATAGGGGCGAGATGGACGAGATGAAGTTGGTCGTTGATAGGATTCGGAGAATTTCTGATGAGATCGAGAGCATGATTAGCGGATTCGTTTGAACCTTCGGGAAGAGGTAAATGACGTCATTCGAGTTCGGTGACGTCGGTTTCGTTTAGAATTTCAGAGAATTTCTGATTTCTGTTTTTCACCTTTTAGAATTAGTTCGATAAATACATTATTCGAGAAGAACTTGGAGCATAGGACTTAGCAGTACTTACTGCAAGAACCTCGATCAAGATTCTCCACACGATGCTCGTCCAATTCGAATCTAACTCGCAAAATGGTACATCCCTTGCGTCGAGGCACGGCTGTACATATATACATACACAGGCCAATTCTCCATCGACGTTTGACTCACAAATGACGAAAGGAAGACGCATCGTTTATTAATTGCCGCGGCGATCTTTATGGGCAGGGAAGAACGATCGAGCGGTGGTAGGGACTAATGCTGACGCGGTCGCGCGCGCGGAAATTCTTTTTCGGAATCGCATCTATCATTTTTACGAGAAAAAGGCGAAGTTTCCCCGGCGACTTTATAACGCGACGTCACTAACGAGGCCCCGTTGCACTTTTTGTTGCAGCCAGCGACGCGCTCGGCCGAATCGATAAGGAGCCAGCCTCGCCGGAATCCATACAAGGTGAGTTTGCACAGAGTTTCATCGTCCGTCTGTCGTTCGCTTCCCTCTTCCCTTCTTCTTCACTCCAGTCCTTACGTTTCGCTCTCTTTCTTCCTCCTCCCCTGTGTGTACGTCTCTCTCTCTCTCTCTCCTCTTTCTCTTTCACTCTCTTGTTCCCCACCTGTGACGTTCGAATCGCGATACGATTAACGTACCGAAGGGTTTAACCTTCGCCGATGGCAGGAACATAAATTTCACAAACGAATAATACGACACGGCGAAGTCGCTGAGCGAAAGGCTCACAAGTATCGGGCATTATAAATCCGCGTCGTTATTTCTTAGCCGGGCTTTTTGCGGTCCGAAGCCGATCGGGCCGGGGCAACATCGTTTAATTGCAACGATGAGGCTTTTACATTGTGGCCAGCGCGCACGGTGTAGAAAATCCGCCGCGGGAAAGGAAACTGGGGGGACGTACACACCGGTGCTGATTGAGAAATTTTCAGGGACGACAAAGAAATCGGGCCGGAGCCGCCGCCAACGGTGTACACGGGGATTTTATTAATCGACCGACCGTGGAACGGGTTCGGGCCCAATCGCGAAACCAGTCGCTCTCTCAAGATGCATCGTCCACCTCGTGTGTCTCGTGTCGTCCTACCTTTTTTTTCCCCTCCCTATTGCTTTTTTATCGCGATTAAGGCTACATGTGTATCGTCATATTCTGCCTTATGGTAATTTTTTAATCGCTTAATCATCGACGTACGATGTTCCTTAAAGGGGACGTTGTACGAAGGGTTGGTGGACGTTTTTCATCGGGGATGAAATTAGGTGTTCTGTGATATCGTGCAAGAATTTCGGGATTTAGCGAAATCCTTGGCGAACAATTACCAAAATCAAGCTCAATTGAGTTGTTCGCGGAACAATCTCCTTTACGAGCGTGAAAATATTCCGGGATAAAACGTTGTCGCCGCCTCGTTCTGAGGCTAATCCCTTTCCACGTAAAATATGTCATAAAAGCAATTACGCGGAGCTCGAGCCGCCTACCAGCCAGCGCGGCGGTTTGTCATTTGCCTCGGAGAATTCTTTCGCGGCCTTTTAACATCAGGCATTATCCTCTGTCCTTGGCCCGTTCCTGCTTTCTCGAAGATTTCTCGTAAAGGGGGCGGAATTCTCCCTCGTTGAAATTGAAACTGAAGCGAACCCCTCGAGGCTTCTGAAAAAATCTCCACGGTTGTAGATTCCAAGTGTTTATCTGGTAGATTTTATCACCTCGAAGATGAGAAGATCGACTTGTCTCGGAAGAGGAGGTTCTTCTCACGCGACAGACGAGAGAGGGAGAGAAGGAATACGGGAGTCGAAGAGAGGAGATTCCATCGGATAATTTAGGCTCGCGTGAGAACCGTTCCCTCTCCGTTCCTGCGTGTGCAATTCCGCTGACCGTCGGTTCGAGCTGGAAAACGCGGCTCTTCGGGGCTGTCACGTGTCGCGAAACGTAACACGTCGAGGATCGCGCCTTCCAGAGAACGCAGAGGCCCGTAATGACGGAGCCGGACTTTAACGAGCCGGATCAGCGGCACGTTTCACCTCTCCCTTCACCCAGATGTACATTACAATCGGCCTGTCTTCGGGACGTCAAAGGAACTGCCTTCGAATATATATCGGCTGTGACGCGCGGCCTTCTTCGTCCATTCAGCAGAATCTTCTTCACGTTTCATTCTTTTCAGCGAAATTGAACTTGTATTTATCTCCCCAAAGGATCAACCTCGAAAGATTCAATTTTCTGTCGGAAGAATCAGCTCGACCTAGCAGACACTAGGAGATAATTTTTGCATCAATTAACGAGCTAAGAACGGAAGCATCAATCTTACACATCACTCTCAAACTCCTACCGCTATCGTCACATCGAAAACGCATGGTCTCCGGTCGAAAAAACGAAGAGCAGAACTCGAGGATGCTAACAAAGCTTAGGGAAGAGTGGCAAAAAATCGGTTGGCCCGGACTCTTGGAAACAGTGAACCGGTCGTAAGCTAGAACCAAGAGATCCCGAGGATCTTCCCCGAGGTCTCCATAGTTCCGCCGAGAGAAAGGACGAAACTTGAAGAGGGAAAAAGGAGGAACAAGCAGCCAGGGACATCATTGGCAGCCCTGTGTTTTACTTTATAGCGTTTAGCCCCCGTTGTTTGTCTTATTGCTATTAGCCTCCGTCAATTAGTAATTGCATTTTTAATGTCGATTCCGTGAATCGGTGTTGGACCTCGATGAGCGGCCTCCGTCAGCCTTGGCTGATTCGAAGGGAGACGAAGTGGCCAGTAGGAGAAAATCGGAGAGGGGACTGATGCGGTCAGGTAGGGGAAAAGGGACCCATCGAAGGGAGGGGGCATGTCATTAGGAGTCATTAATATCACGGACCTCTGTAATTTGACACACTTCCGATCGCCTAGCGCCACCACCGCCACCCGCTCCATTTTTCTTCCTTTCCTTCTCCTTAAACCTGTCTATTCTGTCCACCTTTTACTCCCCTATTCTGCTTTCGTTCCCCTCGTTCGCAGAGAACAACGTCACTCTCGCTCCATTTCGACGATTGATAAGTATTATCTTTAACCCTTTCGCAATCTTCTTAATGCAAAACTTGAGAAAATTAAATTTATGCGTAATTTTCCATTAACTCGAATAGCTAAGGGACGGAACAACAGTGTGAAATCGATCCAATCAATCAACTAGAACACTCGACACCCTTTACAATTCTCGCTGCAAGATTTCTGCGCCGTTTTAGAGGCCATGTTACAGGTGTGACTCACCTCGACTCGTTAATTAACGTGTTCTCCTGTCGACGGTAGCGAATTGTCGATAATTAGCCCGAACCATGGCGATCGAACTTAGCGAACGATGACGTGTCCACCGCCGACGAACCGTCCACGATACATATGCAGGCCGATTTCGTAATCGTGCTACGAAAGAACGAGCAAGTATCATTCGGAATGCAAGTAGCCGCGATCGATATGATCCGCGGATGCTAATCGAATCGCTAATCGTTTATTCCTGCGTCGTACAGGCACACCTGTTCGACCGATATGGTCAGACCAGAGATTCTTTTAACGTGGGCTTCATGGAGATCTCTCGAACGGAGAACGACCAAGTCCCTCATCATACTTTGTAATGTAAACTCTCGACGATATTTTCTTTCGTTCTTTGTCTCTCTTTTTTTTTTTCTTTTCTTCCTCTTCTTCTCGTTTTTCAACAGGCCGCCAATCATGGTTTTTGTCCCCTTCAACCTCGCGTGGTTTAATCACGAACGCAATGTTTACGTGGTGATTATCGAAAAATCGTGACTCCGTGTTGTCTGTGATGTTTGGTGTCCAAGCCGGGGGAAACTTGGAACCGATCGAGCGGGTGTTAGCGAACTATAATAGATACTTATCGATCGTTATCCGGCTGCCTCGATATCACTATTGTTCCTACCGGTGCACACCTCCGTGAGACTTTGTCCCGATGGTTTATTCAATTACCAGCGCAGGGTTGGAGCTGTTGACGTTAAGTAGTCGGCGAACCTTAACACGTCTCATTCTACGAGAATTCTGAAGCATCGTTCGTTGGAATAATTGATCGTAGGGAAATTACAATAGCGCTGTAGTTAGTTCGATCATATCGGCGATCTGCAGCTGTTGCATTGTAACAACTTGAACCGAGCGACGTTGTGAAACTCTTTAATTTATTTCCTTCTTATAAAACAACGATTGCAATTTAATTGCGTTGAACGGTAAGCGATATCTAATTTTTCTCTGATCTCTCTCGAACTGTCCTGTAAAATCACGCTAATTCCAAGCGATCGATCACCAGGTAGAATCTCGGCGAACGTAACGCAACCGCGCCAAGTAAGAGCCTCTCCTCGAGTCTCCCAAGAACAGGCATGCAAATCGTCCGCGTCTATTCCCGGAATTGGAACAGCGTGCATATTTTTAACCGGCGGTCGATTCCGCGGAACGGATAGATTCCGAATCGCGGGGACGGACGGCGGGATCGACGAGGATGGAAATGGCGAGCGGATAGTCCGCGAAACGTTGGAGAGATCGGTTTCGCTTGGAATGCAAACGACTCGCGGCGATAAAGCTCCGTGGCCGGAGGAGTTGGTGTGTCGAACGGGGGCCCGTGGTCGCACGGTGAGGACGATAATACGTCTTCCTGGTGATTTTGTTATTCAAATGGCCGCGTCCAGGACCGAGGTGACCGTGGAAAACCGCTATTGAATGCCGAAACGGCTTCACGACCCTCCTTCCACCCGGAGAACCTTTCCATTCACGCCCGCCAATCCAGAACGTCCGGTTCTTGCGGACCTGGTGTGTGTGTGTTGTCCCTGGAAAAGCCGCCTAGGCGATTTACCAGCAAAAAGCTTTACCGCGTATCGCTCGATTCCCGTTAAGCTCCAGCCTCGATCGCCAACCACTTCTCACTCTGGCGAATTTGCTCAAACACTCTCTGCCTTCTCGTTCCTTCTCTCCTGTGTTTTCTTCGGAAACGGAGCTAAAGGGTGGCTATTAACCGCGTTCACCGGTAGTGTACAGGTTCGTTCAGAAATTATGGGTGTGATTGGACGTACAGGTCGTAATGCGTGAATTTTGTTAAGCAACTGCTGATTCATAAATTGTGAGCTGAACTTCAGATCCACAAGCTGTGGGTTTATTTAGGTATTAATGCTGGTTGATGTACAGGTTGATTCATAAATTGTAAGTGTATTTCGATACACAGATATGCAGTAATATTTAAATATTGATCTTTGAAATTGTGGCTTGCACCACATAGAGGGTGATTCGTAACTTGAAAGGTCATTGAACTAAAGAAAATGCAGTAGGGTGATTCGTAACCTCAAATCTCAATTAAACTAAAATTCCCCGAATCACTGAAACACACTGTAGTATGAAATGAAACGGACGCGTTTGAAATATTACCTGGACTTGTCGCACGATTTATGTCCATGCTCCGACGTGGAAAATGTTCTCGGATCTTTTTCAACTAACCATAAAGGGACA